GCACTGGGTACAGTCAGAAGCGCGGGAAGGTGAGAGAATTCGCCAGAGCGGGGAGCAGAGCAGGCAGAAGGACTGAAGTACACTGCTGAGGGGAGCAGCGGGCGGCAGGAGAGGTCTGCGTGCCATGTGGGACCCTCCTCTGGTGGCCGGGGAGCAGCCAGGGATCGGATGGAACAGGTGCTGCAGAGGCTGCGGGCAGCTTCGCAACCCAGTGCTCAACCGCTGCGCCACCAGGGAGGCCCTGCACATTGATATTCTTGACCCCATCAGATATAAAGACTTCCAATTCAGGGTGTGTAAGATTGGGGGTTATGGGGTTGGGGAGGCAGAGATCTCCAATCCAGTATATATATATATATATATTTTTTTTTAAAGATTTATTTATTTATGCATACAAGAGCTGGGGCACAGGCCAGAGATGTGGGGGGTGGAGGAGGATCCACCAGAGACAAAGTGGGGAACAGAACAGGCAGATCGACTGAAATACACTGCTGAGGGAGCAGAGGGCAAGACAGGAGAGTTCTGCCTCGCCATGTGGGTTTCTCCCTGGCCAGCAGGGGATCAAACTCGTGCTACAAAGGCTGTGGATTGCTTCAATAGTGCGGTGTTTAACCCCTTGCACCCCCATGGAGGCCCCCAATCCAGTATATTTAAACATATACTTAAAAAAAAAAACCAAAAAACTAAAAGCAAAACAACTGCAATTTGCCTACATTCTACTTCACTGTCTAATAGAGTTCTTTAGGTTTTCTAAAAATGCTAGCACCATCACCAACCATCTAACTCAGCTGGGAAAGATAATCAGACTCTAAGACTTTTACTGGTCTACATATTTTAGAAAGCCAAATAATAAGTTGTCTTATGGCACAGATAGGTATCGTTGTTTTTAGTTCTTATTATAAATTCAATTGGCACACATTAGATTTCAATAAATATTTGTTAGATAATTGATGGGTAAATGGATAAACTAGTGGTTTGTTTGTGAATGTTCCACAGCTAGCTCTTCAGAAGAAAAAGGAAGTTCTGATTTTTATCACATACTGAAAGACAGAAGTTTAAGTAAGGGCAAAGCAAGAAAACTTAGAATGTTAGAAATAACTGTTAGGAAAAAAAGACTTCATTTCTTCCATGGATTTAATATTATTGGTAAAGGTGTCCCATAAGTGTTTGCTATTTTGAAAACTAAAATGAGCGCTTTTCACCTTGCATTAAAGAGAATATAGGATATACATAGGATATATATATAGGAAAAGACTGATATGAAAAGGGATATTCTAATACTTTGTTTAACATGAGGATAATTCATGAGCACTATTATATCTTGAAACAATTAAGAGGAAAAAATAGGAAAATCATTGATATATATTATTCAGAAAATAAACTCATTGTAATTTTCAGAGAAAAAAAATCATAAAGCGTATGGGATGAATTAGGTAAATTACAGAAATTCATCTTTCCTTTTGTAGTGTCATTCTACATGTAGTCACCAAAAAAGATTACCAGTCTGTTCCAGAAAAATAATTAACTAACCATGTGATAGAATAGCTATGTCATATGCCCACCTATTAAAATAAAAATAAATCCTTCAGTGACATGGTATATAAAATATGAGCTGCTAATTACTACATTTATGCCATTTAACTACATTTTCCCCTCAATAAATACAAAAGGAAACTATAATTCACTTGAATAAGGAAATGATATTAGAAAACAAGAAAGGAAAAGAAAGAACTTTGATATGCCTAAATATTTCTTACACAGGATACCTAAAATAAATTACCTAGGATCAATGCATCTTCACAAAATCAAAAAACAGGATAATAAAGAAAACTGAAGTTCAAATTTTAAGAACAAATAGAAAAGAATAATTCAAATTATTAAAAACTGAATTCTTGTTATCCTTTACAAGAGATTTGATAAATATTATCTGAGCTAAAGAAACAACCAGAATATTTTTCCTGTTTCTAGCAGATATTTTCAATTTTAAATACAACTAAAAAAACTACAAAAACCAACCTGGTCTTAAAGTGCTAAATAGTGAGCTTAGCTGGTGAGTACACAGTGCTGAGGAAAGGGTTTTAATCTCAATCTTCTCAGTTGTCCTGCCAGAAATTGTTCTCCCAGCCCAGCCAGCCATTTCTCATATGTAAGCCACTGGCCCCAAGAAACACAAAATGGACAGCAGTGAACAGTACAAATTTTGAGGGTCACTGAAAAAATTAAGTGTGTGTTCTACTGTACATTTTCACACACAGAAAACCGTGTAAATACATTCTAGTTTTCTTAGGAGTGTTCAACTATAAATACTTACGAGGTTTTAAAAATATTTCCAGAGAAAAATAATTTAGTGACTTCAATTTAGAATGCTAAAATTATCATTCATGATTTGTTCTTCATTTCATTCAAGTATCTTTCAAGAGAACTCTGTCACTCTGTCTCCTTAACCTATTAATTTTTCTTGTTAGCACTTTCCCCTAACTGATATTATATGAAATATTTATTTATTTAGTATCTACCTCTCCCAACTGGAATGTGAGCTATCTGAGACAGCAAGGACTTAGCCTGGTATATGTTCCTGCTGTCTCTCTAGAGCCTGACACTCATATATATGCTGAATAAACTCTTAGATTTTGTCACATACGAAGGAATTAAATCCATGGTTATCTTTAATAGGACAACAAAAATAGTAAATGATTTATAAGTCAAGAATATATTGCTAACTAGTGAAATAGAATGTATAGGTAGTCTCTAGGGAGTACTCTATAGACCAAAGAATTTTGAGATTTTTGACATGGGTCTTCCAGGTTTGGAAGGTGTTCACCATCTTCACCATTCATCTCTATGGGATCATTCAACGTGGGGACAAACGTTTACACATAGAATATAGGGCAGTGGAACTGGCTATTTAACTCAATTCAGTAATAAAACAAAAATCATCGAAACTTGTAAGTCTTCCTCAAACTATCAGAAATGTCTGGGAAAAGAAATGAAATAATGGTTTACTTATAAATTAAAGATTTAAAGATCTACAATTTAATTTTCAATAATTAACATAGAAATAAACTAGAATTCGATGACTAACACACAGACTATACCTATAACCTCCAGGTTCTCTCTTGGTTGACTTTAGAAATTACTAAATTAGGTTATCTAGAGAGCAAAAGGTCAAACAATAGGAGGAAGACTGACAGTAAAGGCCACAATGCAATCATCTGAAGAATGCTCAAATTAAAACTCTTTAGTGGATTATAGTATTATTCCAATATATGAGGCCTTTTGCAACAGAAAATCTATCTTACCATAATCATAGTACAAATCAGTGACAGAAGCAGACCTGCAGCTAAGGTCTCTAAACTCATAGCACTTTCTATCACATTTTGCAAGCATGGTTCTCTGAAAGAACTATGAAGCAGCATCTATTTTTGATTCATATACCCTGAATTAAATTTTGTTAACCCCAGTGTGACATGATTAAAAGCACTGCAAAAAGCTATCAGTGGGTCACAGATTTGCTGCTGGTTGAATATTACATGACCTTGGACAAGCTACTTTACCTCTTAGAGCCTCAAAAAGTGTCAATGTGATATGACTTTCAAGCTTTAGCCATTCTTAGACTACACTTACAAATTTAGCTGAATTCATGGTGTTAATTCACCTGATTTGTTACTTTAAGTGAATTTACATTTGAAAAATTGTAATAACTTAGCTCTGTCCTAAGCAATTATTTATGAAATCACATTTTCAACTGAAAAAATATTTTTCTAATTTACATTAAAATATAGATGATAATGTGCGCCTACTCATTTACCATGAATTGTACATAAACCACACTTTGGGAAACATAAATGATGATGTTAGTGCTCTTTGTAGGTCTAAAACCTAATGATGCTAATTAAATCTCCTACCGTAGGAGCTAGGGATTAAAATGATCATCTTACCAATGTCATGAGCAAATGAGGACCCCTACACTTCTCACAATAATTTTTCCACTATAGGCACAAAGTTGACTATTTCCCTAATAGAAGGATTCCTTTACTTCTACTTTAGTTTCTTCTTTAGATACAAAAGTTATTTAGATCACTGAATTAAAAACTTGAGTTAACAAAACTAAAACAGTGTTTCTTTATGACGATCTAGCAAGTAAAATGGATTTGCCTCTGTGGATTCTAAATAAAAACAGTCAACCCTATTTCTCTAACTAACTTACCCTGTCCCACTCTTTTTTTTTTTTTTTTAATAGAGGCATGTTTTATTTATTTATTTATTTATTTGTTTGTTTTGTTTATACATGCACTGGGTACAGTCAGAAGCGCGGGAGGGTGAGAGAATTCACCAGAGCCAGAGCGGGGAGCAGAGCAGGCAGAAGGACCGAAGTACACTGCTGAGGGGAGCAGCGGGCGGCAGGAGAGGTCTGCACGCCAAGTGGGATCCTCATCTAGTGGCCGGGGAGCAGCCTGGGATCGAACCAGCGCCGCAGAGGCTGCGGGCAGCTTCGCAACCCAGCCCTCAACCGCTGCGCCACCGGGGAGGCCCACCCTGTCCCACTCTTAATTTTCATTTCCTTTGGTCTACAAAAATCTCTTTAAGAGGACATTGGAGGAGCCTTCCCGGTGGCGCAGCGGTTGAGCGCTGGGTTGCAAAGCTGCCCTCAGCCTGTGCAGTGCCGGTTCGATCCCCGGCTGCTCCCCGGCCACTGGGGGAGAGTCCCACATGGCACGCAGACCTCTCCTGCTGCCCGCTGCTCCCCTCAGCAGTGTACTTCGATCCCTCTGCCTGCTCTGTTCCCCTCTCTGGCTCTGGTGAATTCTCTCACTCTCCCGTGCTTCTGACTGTACCCAGTGCTTGTATAAATAAATCTTAAAAAAAAAAAAAAAAAAAAAAAGAGGACATTGGAGCCTCCCTATGAGAAGTGAGTTACATCTATGAAACATGACTCAAGTATACAGCTGGTGAATACTATTTTGGAAAAAATAATTTCTTTTTAACACTGTTTCTGATACCTGAACCAGCCAGATGCCATCTTTTGTGTCTTCTACAAGCTCATAGAAGTGCATTTCACCACTGAAATTGGTACTAGAAACAGATTCAGATGCTTCTTCTTCCTTGAGTGCAGAATAGAGTTCACCCTCCATTAAGTCACCTAAAGAAAGTAAAAAAAGAACATAAGATTTCAAAATCCCATGTTCCAAACTCCAATGATAAATTCCATTTTACGCTGTTTATAAGACAGTATACATCATTGCACTTTATTGAAAAGAATAGTAGAGCCTGGATATACCAAATAAAGATTTCTATATCAGTAAATATGTAATAAGAAGCTACAATGAGTCAAGCAAAAGTTAACAAAACAGAACAATCTATTTCTTCTTAGAACTAGTCTATTGGAGTCATCACATATTTATTAGGAAATTGTTGCATTTGTACCAGTTCAGAAAGCAATCACAATATTGTTTCATATTGTGCGTAGCATGTCCAGGATTCAGACAATTTTTAAACAGTATGATTTATATAATGACATAAGATTTAGAAATAGATGCACAGAATTTGCCCCATCGCCACCTGCTTAAAATAGTAACAGTGCTATATGACTTGGACAAAAGATTACCTCTAGGAACAAATTCCATATTCATGAGCAAATTTACAGTACAAATTTAGAGCTCATATCATCAAATAAAGTTTAAAAGAAACGCTGTCAAATTATTTCAACTTTTGCTTTACATGTTAAACAATGAGAACAAACTAGATCTGACAGTAACAAAACGAGTCATAAGGAATACTTGAATTTTAAAGTTAAATTGCTATGCCAAGACCCTACTACAAAATGTGTGATCTGAATCATACTTTTTGTGAGTCCTGTATATTCTTTAGATGATATGTGGGATTCTTGTATGCTAAAAGAGACAACTATTTTTAGGAAAGCCCAAAGGAAAACCACACTAAATAAAAATCAAAAGGAAAAAAAATGTGTTATTAAACATTTTACCAACAAAAATGGTTTGGCTTTGGCAGTTAAGACCATTCTCATTTCTAAACCCAGAGAGCTTATTTAGTAGAGGTCTTTTACTTTAATTACTTCATTCTCCCCACCCTGTGGTTGAAAGAGAAGTCACCATAAACCAGTAAGAGGCAAAAATAATACGCAATTTTATATTTCTCAAAAGAAGTCTCATGTTAACAGAGAGGGTTCCTAACCTAGCAGTGAGATGTGAATTTGATAATCCTTAACCTATAAAGATGTGGATGTTAAAGTTCTTTGGAGTTAGTATTCTTATCACACTACCTACCTGGTATATTTTAAATATTTTAAACGAGCTGATATACTTGAAACAACAACAAAAAGATAACCATCAGTTTCAATTGCTTCCTACAGAAATCCCCAAACATCTTTCTTAAATTAAAATACATATTCCTTCCAGGAAGACTACCTTAAAAAAAAAAAAAAATGGATAAACTTTGTACTGGGTTGGGGGGTGGTTAATCACATCTCTCATCTAGTACTTCCTCCAAACCAACAGTTATTGAAAATGCATTCTTAAAGTTGTTAAAGATTCTACAGCACTATTTCAATTCTATTTTTTTCGACCCATTTACGTTGATGCAGCAGTGCCTGTGACCCAGAAGGGAAAAAAAAGTTTTCATCAGGTTTTTTTTTTAATCCTAAGAGAAACAGCCAAAGCAGGCAATCACTTAAAATTTTCACCAAACTTAGAAAAGCTCAAATTGTACAGTGTACACTTCATCTATATCTAAACTCATTAGTTAGGCCTAACAGTATTCCAGTATTTTTCCTTCTGGGTAACTAGCATAACAATAGTTTCAACAGACAATGTTTTGGGGTTCTTCTTATATCCGTATTAATATAAACTAACAAATAATAATTTGTCTTTAAGTGGCTGACATTCCTAAATTTTGAGGAAAGAACACTCAACTTGGTAAACAATGCTAAGAAGCTGTACTATAGACTTATTTTAACATGACCTTAAAAAGACACACCAAAACCCCTACAACTAATTCTGACCCCCTTCTCAAAACTGGGATTCACTTTTTTGTGGAGTGGGGGGATAGAAAACCTGGGCAGCTCTCTAGTAGTCGGCTTCATCTTCCCAGGTAATCTCGGTACCAGAAAGTAAGTCTGGGTCGCCCCATCCATCAGATACTCGCCTGACTTTTCCACCAGTTCCCGGACGTCCTTCTTTTCGGGCAGCCCCGAATATCCCAGACCCCGGCACTCCAGAATGGTTTTCAGCTTCTTGAAGCTCAGCGCAACCGGATCCACCAGCTGGGTGGCAAAGATGCCAGTTTCATACCACACAATGGCCTCAAAGAACCTGGCCAGGACGAACAGGACCAGAAAATAGAGGAGCAAGAAAAAGAGCTTCAGCCACATCTTCCCCCGCGTTCTCGCTCTCTAAAGAGAGCTCAGAAGACGAAAACGTGGAGGGCAGAGAGGAAGCGTTCACGCCAGGCTGGGCTCCGGCTCCGGCTCGGCGTGGCCGGGCGCGCCGCCGTCCCTGCGGGTCCTCCCCGGCCGGGAGGCAGGTGGATCTGGGTGTCGGAGCGGGGAGCGGGGACAGACCAGGAGGGGCAGAGGCGCAGAGCCTCGCGCGGGCCTTTCAGTCCAGAGGAGCGGAAAACACGGGGGAAGCTAAAAACAAAAACCAAACAAACAAAAACACCACAAAAAAAACCCGTCAATGAAACACCGACAGGAGCGGCGTGCGGGGAGCGCCGCGGGAGGGAGCAAACGGGGGCCGCCTCCCAGAACGGGGGCCCCTGGCCGAGGTGGCTGGTCGGCCTTCCAGCCCCGGAATCTCCAGGGAGGCCCCCAAATAAAACAAAATAAAATCAATTCGGATCCACAAAGGAAGGTCCGGGCTGCAGTCCCGGGCGGAGAGGCGCCGGGCCTGGGAGGCGGCTGAGGCGGCGGCCGGGCTCCCGCGGCGGCGGGTCAGGAGGGCGCGGCGCTCGGCCCGGCCAGGCCCCGGGCCCAGCGCGGGGAGGAGCGGCCGCCGCAGCGCGGTGCCCGGCTCGCAGGCCCCAGGCCCCAGCGGCCGCCCAGGCTCCGCGAGAAGCGCTGCGGCCGCTCCAGATTCGCTCGGGCCGGCGGGCGGTGCCTCTCGGGCGGGCGGGAACCGCGGCCCGGCTCCGGAGGGGGCGTCGCGGGCTCTGCAGAGGGAAGTGGGACGCGCCGCGCGACGGTCCCGAAGGGAAAAAACAAAAATAGGCCCGAAGTGCTGCCCGCGGCGGCTACCCGGCTGCCTCCGGCCGCGCGACGCCCGCCCCGCTCGGATGGGCCGCGCGGGCTCCGCCGCCGTCTCCGACGCCCCCGCCGCCTCGAGAGGCCGCGGCCGTCGCCTCCGAAGCGGATCAGCTGCGGCCCGGCCAGGGCCGAGACATAACAACTGACGTCGGCGGCGGGGCGGGGCCGGGGCGGGGCCGGGGCGGGGCCACGGGGAGCGCCCGCCCGACTCGAGGTGCGGAGAAGCGGGTGCGCGCGGCGTGGGGGCGGCCCAGACCCGCGGCCGCTGAGGGGGGCGGAGCTGCCGCCTCGCCTGCCCTCCAGACGGCTCCCGGGGCGCCGCTCCATGTCTCCGCCGCGCTCTTTCCTTTTGCGCTTAGATGTTTAGTAATTAATATGTCTGAAATGTGGGCTCTGGACTATAGCGCTTTGGGGTTTTTTTGGTAAAAATAGGGCAGCCAATGACGCTTAAAATCGGCTAAAATAGGAGCGTCCATTTATGCTGGGTCCTGGTGAATTGGGAAAATTTTGGCACAGTTGGTTTGAGTGAGTGGATAGACGTTGAACCCCAGGAAACAATTTTCCATGTCTCGGTGAGAACATGGTTGTGTACATGTCTGTTGACTGGGGTTGGCAGAAAGGGTTGTGAGATCTAGGCCCGGTGTCCTTGCCTGTTACAGTCTCCCCTCCTCCACCCGTTCCATCTCCAGGGTGTTAAAAGCCAGAAGTTGAAGCACCGAGTTTCCAGTACAAAGGTTGGCATTTTATGTTCAGGTCCAAAGTTCCCCGTGTGTTTTTTTTTTATTATCCTTTCTATGTGTGGGCACTAGGAGAAAGAGGATCTCAATATGAAATGAGCAATGTGGGCAAGCAAGCAATTCCCGGGTCTGTATTCATTTAACTCCACTGGAGCGTGTCTTCAGGTGTGCCAGTCTTGCGGGAGAAAGGAGTTGCATACATAAACTAAACAAGGCTGGCTTTTACCAGCCTGGTTGATCAGACAGGAAAAAACAGGAGTTTCAATAGAAACTTGAAACAAGAGAAGCTGTCAAATGTCCTCACTAGGAGTGAATGATTGAGGAAGGAGGGTGTGATCCTCAGTCTTGGTGAGAATGAGTAATAGAAAGCAAATAATGAACCTTGAGACTATTTCTCAGAATTGTACTCCTTTAAAATAAAGCAAACAAAGGCATTTCAGTGCTCAGCTAGTGGAGGAGGAATTGGAGGGAATGGGCCCAGGGTGTAGAGAGAAAGAATTGTGGAGGAGGTACAGGAATGTACAATAGCTCTTGGCCTCTGGTCTCCGTCCTAGCTAGCTTCAATGTAGCTTTGTTTCCAAGGCTGGCAGATCAATGTGAGAGACTGCCTTGAACAGTTTATTCTAATAAGCTTGATTCTGAAATTTCAGAAACCTTGGGCATTTCACAGTGACCCTCACACTGGGTGATATAGCTGTCCAAACCTTGACAGATAAGGTAAAGTCATTCACTACAAAGGAATGCACATACTAGCGAGGAAAGACAGACCCAATATAAAAGGAGTACCGGTAGAGAAAGTTCGGGTGAGTCGAGGATGGAACTAGCCTGACTAGAGTTTCAAATTGGAAAAATATTTGCGTGTGGGAGGGATTCAAAAGGGATTAAAGAAGACTTTTTTTTTTTTTTTTTTTATAGAGGCATGCTTTATTTATTTGTTTGCTGGTTTGTTTGTTTTGTTTTTACATGCACTGGGTACAGTCAGAAGCGCAGAAGGGTGAGAGAATTCACCAGAGCCAGAGCGGGGAGCAGAGCAGGCAGAAGGACCGAAGTACACTGCTGAGGGGTGCAGCGGGCGGCAGGAGAGGTCTGCGCGCCATGTGGGACCCTCCTCTGGTGGCCAGGGAGCAGCCGGGGATCGAACCGGCGCCGCAGAGGCCGCGGGCAGCTTCGCAACCCAGCGCTCAACCGCTGCGCCACCGGGGAGGCCCTAAAGAAGACTTTTGACAATTCTTACTTCTTTCAGCTGACAATGGTTGGCCTCCCATCCCAACCTCTTGCCTCCTTCCATCAAGGTTTAACTCTCTGGAAAGATAACAGCATTGATAAAACAGCAGAGTTGGAGGGATGTAGGAGGGCATTCACACGCTTATTGATGAGAATGTACAATCTTTTAGGAGGGCAATTTAAATGTGAATTAGAAGGCCTGTGAAAAACAAGCTTTTAGCACAGTAATCTCCCTTCAGGAAGTGTATCCTGAAACTATAATAGGACACAGTATACAAAAAGGTAGGTGAAATTTTTGTTGTTGCCATAAAGTTAATAACAGGGAGGAAAAAGGTAAGAAAATCCAGATATTTAGCAACAGAGGATTGGTCAAATACAGTAATACAAATGATGATGTATTAGGCATCTACTGCATGTTACATGAACTACTAAAAAGATATAGACATATGGTTATAGACATGAAATCATGCCAGTGTATAATGTGTGTGCATTGGCGGGAATGGGTAGGTTACTGAAAGGTTTGCATCATATGTTCTTGTTTTTGTATTTGTATTAGAAAAATGTAAAGAAATTTACAGTAAAATATTAACAGTATTCATGGTTAGATGATGGGGTTTAAATGATTCAATTTTTTTGCATTATCTCTATTTTATTATTTTTCCAAAAAATGCATTATTTTGGTAATTTTTAAATGTGTTTAAAAAACAAAAGAGCCTCCCCGGTGGCGCAGCGGTTGAGCGCTGGGTTGCGAAGCTGCCCCCAGCCTCTGCAGCGCCAGTTCGATCCTCTGCCACGGGGTGAGGGTTCCACATGGCGCGCAGACCTCTCCTGCCTCCCGCTGCTCTCCTCAGCAGTGTACTTCATCAGTCTGCCTGCTTTGCTCTCCGCTCTAACTCTGGTGAATTCTCTCACTCTCCCGCGCTTCTGACTGTACCCAATGCTTTTATAAAATAAATAAATCTTAAAAAAAAAAAGATTAAAAAACAAAACAAAACAATCACTAGAATTGCTTCCCTGGCCTGGAGGTTTAACAGTGGGGATTCATCCTCTGAGATTTGCAAGGGAAGTGTGTCCTGTCTCCCATGAAGGTAATTTTAGTTTCTACCATGTCTAATTGGGCAGGATAATTAGAATTTCTGTTCAAAGACCATGCTAACAAAAGGATATTCAAATTATTCATCATTTTTTATAATCTGCTTTTCAAACAATGAAGTGGTTAATCCGGGATCTTGATTTTACATCTCAGATTCTGTGTTAAATGCCTTATCATTTGATAATATGGTAAGAACATGGGAAACATCATTATAGGGCCTGGCCTTGGGTGTACTGGTATCTACTAACTGTGTCACCTTGTGAGGAAGTCACAAAACTACTCTGAACCCCATTTTTATCATCTGTAAAATGGGATTGAAGTTTTATCCCATGGAGCTATAGTAACAAATGAAGTAGTAAGTGTAAAAAAAATGATTTGAAACAGACATAGTGCTTGTAATTCATTAAAAATGAATTGACTTTAAAGAAAAAGAAAATCAAAGTCTTCAGCTGAATTTGATGAAATAGGGTTATTTTCTTTAGGGCCCACAGAGCCTTTTTTTTAAAGATTTATTTACTTATTTATACAAGCATGGGTACAGTCAGAAGCGCGGGAGGGTGAGAGAATTCACCAGAGCCAGAGCAGGGAGCAGAACAGGCAGAAGTACTGAAGTACACTGCTGAGGGGAACAGTGGGCGGCAGGAGAAGTCTGCGCACCATGTGGGACCCTCACCGGCAGCCGGGGATCGAACGGGCGACGCAGAGGCCGCGGGCAGCCTTGCAGCCCAGCGTTCAAACGCTGCGCCACCAGGGTAGGCCCTTTTTTATTTCATTTTTTATCAAAGTATTACCCATACACAGTTTAAAAAGTCTGCCAACATTTCAGGGCTTCATCCAAATTAGGATGATTTTGAGAGTTAAAGGGGTAATGGTAATAAAATTATGCCAGACAAACAAGGATAATATGGGATTGTCCCAGACAAACCCTGCTTATAAAAAAGCAGATCCTCTACTCATCCCTATACACTATGATTCCTTTCCTCAGAGGCCTTCAATTTGTCTAAGCATTTTTTCATATTTACCTGTATATCTCCAAATAATAGGTTTCCACTGCTTTTCTTGATTTTTTTTCCATTTTGTACATTACCTATTGATTTCTTACTATGACAGATGAGGAATGGTCTCTTTTTTATCCTTCACACACTATTTCCTCCCCCTTTTCCAATGTGATTCTGTTATATATTCATTTTTATATTAATATGACCATATAAATCTTGTTCCTGACTGAACCACATCATTTGTATTTCCTTTTTTGTGCAAGTGTTCATTTTCTCTAAAGTTAATGTTGACCTTGGGGGAATCCACCAAGGAATTCTTTGTACTGCTTTTTTTTTTTTAAGATTTATTTATTTTTTCATACAAGCACTGGATACAGTCAGAAGTGCAGGAGGGTGAGAGAATTCACCAGAGCCAGAGCGGGGAGCAGAGCAGGCAGAAGGACGGAAGTACACTGCTGAGGGGAGCAGCAGGTGGCAGGAGAGGTCTGCATGTCATGTGGGACC